ATCTGAATCGCAATTGAACTCCCTGGCATCATCCTTTAACCTAGAATTTTTCCTTAGCCTTATTTTGGCCAATTTGTCGATGCGTTGACCGGCACTGACCTTTACTATAACGCGTTGATCGGCGTTAACACAGTTTATACTCGTATGTTTACTAGAGTCTACACAGTTTAAGCTTTTAAGGCATTGGAGCATGGCGGTCCCAAATGTTGGGACTGTAGGACCAACTATTAAAACTGATTCATCTGCATGTATGGATCTTATCCTGACGTTTTCGGATCCTCAAGTCACGAGACCAACTAATAGAGCTGGTGCGTCAATGACTCTCATATTTATAGGATTTTTGGTAAACCTCAGCCATCAATGGGTTTGATGAGCCTTTACCGACTACCGTTTGAATTGGGCTAGCATGCAGATTGTTTAAGTCTATTCCGCGTGTAACATTGTGTTAAAAGAGTTAATTCTTTTAGTGTTACGATATTAAATACGTAGACTTCATCTTTCTCACAGGAATAGACTACTCGGCTGCATGTATCAGATGCAGACTTATCTCTATTAAGGGGTCAAGATAAATTCCCCCAAACATGGATTTTGGTGTCTTTTTCACTTGGTGAAAGACTAAACCGGCAACATGTGTTAGGCGTTGACTTATCCCCTCTTAGGATTAAGGATAAAATCCCCCGTGTGTGTAAGGCGCGGATTATGGCATTGTTAATAACAGCCTACCACAATATCGCATATGTGGGCTTTTGTCCTTTTTACGGTCAAAGACTAACCGGTAACGCATGTTAAACGCTGACTTATCCCTACTTAGACTTCGGGATAAAATTCCCCAGACTTGGATTCTGGTGTCTTTTTACTCGGTAAAAAGACTAAACCGGTAATGCGTGCTAGGCGTTGACTAATCCCTACTTAGATTTTAAGATAAAATTCCCCATGCATGAAATGTATGGATTTTTGGTGCTACGGTGTTGAATACGTAGACTTGGTCGTTTTTATGGGAACGGACCACCCTGTAGCATATGTTAGATGCAGACTTATCTTTATTTATGGATCGAGATAAAGTCCCCCATGCGTGTAAGGTATGAATTTTGGTGTTGGAAGGTGGTGTCTTCTCTTGGGGCAAAGACAAACCCGATGCAGGAGAGGAAACTTTTTATATTCTATCTCCAGGTATAAGAGAAACTCAAAGTAGGATCTCCACTTCGAGAATCAATAAAGATTTGAATAACTCTAACTATCGGAATGTTTGACTACCCAATCTGAAGGTAGATTTCTTGTTTATCAAGAGGGAACTCCAGTTTTGGTCCTAACTATAAGAACGTTTGACCAAGTGGAATGTTTGAGACGACCCTAACTATAGGAAGGTTTGATCGCTTGATTTGAAAGTGGACCTCTCGTTCATTATAGGAATCGAGAAAGGATTTGGCTTTGATCCTAACTGTAGGAAGGTTTGACCAATATGGGAGTGAGATGATACAAATAACAGTAGGAGTGTCGATTTGTACAAATCATTGTGTCAATACAGTGGGAGTTTCTAGTGTCAAGTTGCAAGAGCTTTAACATAAGGGGGTTTGAAACTTTCAATATTATGTCTGGACTCTAACAATAGATGTGTTGAGTGTACAGACACAGTGGGAGTTTGAGTTAGTCAAACCAGATATAATTTTGAGTGAACGCACCATCAATTGATTTGATCAATGAGGGATTAGGCACTTCATAATTAGACCATGGGGGTTTCGTGAGGAAAGATTGACCGGATGAAGTCATTGAATCTCATCTCGACGAAAGAGTGATTGAGAAGTCACTGTGGGAGGGTTTTAATCATCTTGGAAATGATTAAATAGCCAGAGTGGAAGGTTCTTAATCATTCTTTATTATGATTAAGAATTTATTGGTTTTGGGTTATCCTTAAGAATATCATGCATAGCATTCTCCAGGAACTTCCCATGGGAATGCATTGAGGTATCCCACCCTCAGCTCTTTGACGAACCTGAATCTAATTATATTCGGCCACACTGTCTGGTTATCCTTAAGAATATTAAAAGTAATATTCTCCAGGAACTTCCCGTCAAAGGTAGGGGATAGTTTAGCCTCATATACCAGTTGGAGGTATGGGAGAAGCAGCTTAACCTCTTATACTCATCGGAGGATTGGGTTCTCATTCGGCTTATTTCGGGGTTATGATGCCGGCATCAACCAATGCTTGAATGCTGTTCTTGAGAGTGAAGAAAGCCTTGGTGGGATGAAGGATCCTCCTGTGGTACGCACAGTACTTTGGATCCAAAGTGTTATCAGCTTCCTCCTGATAACATGGTGTATAAAAAAATGACTTAAACTTATATTGTTTAGGCACCGTTTAGATATCATGATGTTTTACTCGTTTCCATGGTGTTTTTTGATCTAAATCATTTTCAAACCAAAAACACAGCACTTATTTCAAAATACTTTTTAGGTGTTTTAAGTTTGGTGTTTTGGTTTTGAGTTTGAGAATGTGTTAATATAATATTTAACATAATATATTAAATATAATTAATATAGAGTTATTATCAACCTGCTTATTATATTATACTATATTATAGTTAATTTAATATATTAGTAATATTTATTAAATAATATAAAAATACAATGAATAAAATATCTTATATAATAATATAATAACATATTAAATACCAATATTTAATATGTTAATAATTTATTATATAATAAATAAATAATAAATAAACTAATAAAAAATAATAAAAAAGTTATTGATAATAAATAATAATATAATGATGATATAATAATATACTAATACATTACTATAATCGCTATAATATTATTAACTTTTTAATGAATAAATTGTAATAAATTAATAATTATAAAATATTATATAATAGTAACATATCTAATAATAACATATTACATTTAATACTTATAATACTATAATAATATAAACTAAATATTATAACATTTTATTTATAATATATTCTATTATAATTAATATATAATATATTAATAATATGTTTAATACTAATGTTATAATAGGTCAAACTAGTGTTGACCAAAAATACTTAACATGGTGTTTTGAAAACATTTTAAAGAAAAAACACAACACCATGGTGTTTTTTACAAAAACACAAGAAGTAAAATACCATGGTATCCAAACAAAGTATTAGAGTACAGGTTAAGCTTTTACCATGAGAAATCTAGAGTCAAAAATTTTGGTTCACAAAAATCAACAGTAAATTCAACGATCATTACGCATTATCGTCAACAACTATGTCTACGCAGCGTTCATTAATTTATAAATTGTATAATACTAGTGTACCAAAGGTGCAAAGTTACTTTGAAAAGAATTATTGGCTTATGCAGAAAGCATAAACATGAATGAATTATTGCATTGCGGATGTGCAAAACAAGTGTAAAAACCCCTTTCCCCAATCTCGGACTAAAGAAAAAAAAATATATTTCCTGTTACCTTGAGCCAATAATATCTTATCACAGGGTTAAAGAAAAATAAATATTATGAGAAAATAAATGAAGAAACCGCTATTTAAAACCCCTTGCGACAACGCACTTAAATATCACCACTGCTTTGCTGGATTACTCTAGTCCGAGAACATTATAAACCAACATGCAACCATACCAACAAGAAGAAGGTATTGTAATTGTAAGCCAAGCAACATTGAAACCAGAGATCATCTTTTTCTCGTATGCTCTATATCTCAAAAAGTCTGGAAGCATTTCACCTCATATCTTCAAATTGTCTGGCCAACAACCTTTGAAGACCTCATTCATAGAGCAGAATCGCTTACAAGTGTTAAGGGACAATTATGGCGAACCATTTTCTCTGCAGTTTGTTGGAGTTTATGGAACGCAAGAAACAAAATTATTTTTGAACAGGCTCATTACTCTTACATCTCTATCATCAACATTGCTATATCTGGTATTTATGATTGGACAGGAGTGAAAAAAAGATCTACTGCAAGAATTTCAGCTGAGCTAGAGATTAATCCAATACCAAGGCCAGTTGTTCTACAAATCTATGACAGTTTAGTCAGAAGCTAACATTAGTTTGTTCTGTTGGATTGTATACATCATCCTTTTGATTTTTGTTTTGCTGCTTGTTTTTAGAAAACTTAGTTTCTGATAATTAAATGTATAGCTGGCTTTGGTTCCTCCTTATATCTATGTCAACGATGAATGACGGCAAGGCCCTCTCTTCATCTTCATGGATCTCTGGAGGAAGAAGGTTATACATCCCTAATTATTAGACACTATTTTTTCTAATTTCCAGCATGGATACAGTTCGTGTCCATATATTTGTAATACTTTTGTACTTAACTTTTTTTTTATGAATGAACAGGGTATATCCCTTGTTTTTCTTTCAAAAAAAAAAAAAATGTAAGCCAAGCAAATATCTACACTAAGTTTGGCATTGCTTATAAAAATTAACTAAATAAGGGTAGAATTTTGAGTGCAACAGACAAAAGAACAACAATAGCTTCAGCTAAAATCCATCTCTTATTTTACTGTTTGGCTTCTACTGGTAAAGGAAGGAGCAACCCATCCAAAAATTTCCCGTGATCTTCTCCGCATAAAATCTAAGCCACGGAGGTGCATCACCTACCAACTTGGATCATAAACAAGTGGGCCTATCAACTGAATTAAGCTCCGCCCACAGGAATACAAGAAACAATCCATCACTTTCTTCCTACATTTTAAACAGCAACATGGACATAATAGAAAGGGAATTAGTTAGAGAAATGCAATTATTCAAGAGAGAGAAAGCAAACCAATGGGAGCCTGAGAGTAGTTTGTGGATTGCAACCCCATTTCTGACATATTACTTCGAATTGAATATCAAAGCAGACCATCAAGGACCAACATGGAAGGAGTACAAGCAAAGCAAAGGATTGAATAAACATTAAACAAGGAGATGAGAATATAAAATCTAGCATCACATGTAACCGATTAGCTGCACTTGGACCTAAGTTTACCAGTACTACATCCTAATAACACTATAAATATTCCTTGTGCACGTCAAATTGAGCAAAAAAAAAACGCAGAATATCAACCGAGTTTTGAGTTATGGGGATCCCGGTGATCAACCTTGAAGAGCTAAATGGAAAGAGGAGGAACGAGACACTGTCGGTGCTACATGAAGCTTGTGCTAAGTGGGGTTTCTTTTGGGTAAGTAGAGTATACTGTTAATTGCAAATAGACCCCTATACTATGGTCAAATTGAGCTGAATACCCCCCTTACTGTAGTTCTAATGTTGCAAACTCCCTGGGTGAAAATTTTATGACCTTTTTCAGGGGGTCTATCCGCAACAATAGATTTTCACTCATGGAGTCTATCTGCCACAACAATATAACTCTTTTGGCAACAATATAGGTGTAGTACGTTCAATTTGGCAACAATATAGGTGTAGTGCGTTCAATTTGGCACCAATATGGGGGTCTATCCGCAATTAACCCAAGAATATAAATATCTGATTGCTTACTATGGTTTAAATTTTCAACTTTTCATTAAATGCAGATTGAGAATCATGGGATAAGCAAACAACTTATGGAAAAGGTGACGGAACTCACAAACCAGCACTATGAAAAGAACCTGAAGGAAAATTTCTATAAGTCAGAGTGGGCTAAAGAATTGGAGTCTGAATCTGAATACAAAATCTCTGATATCGACTGGGAGAGCAGCTTCTTCATTCGCCATCAGCCAAACCCTAATTTCAGCGACATTCCAAACCTAAATGAAAAACTTTGGTAAGTATCATAATACCTTAACAAATTTTAAGGCTTAAACTATATTGATCGCTAATTTATCCAAACAGCAAAGGAATGAAGGATTATGTTGATCAACTGATCATGGTGGCTGAGACGCTCGCAAAAGGCATGAGTGAAAACCTTGGCTTAGAGAAGAACTACATAAAGAATGCATTTTCAGAACCGTGTGTGGGTACAAAAGTGGCAAAATATCCACAATGCTCAAAGCCAGATCTAGTTATAGGGCTCAGAGCCCACACTGATGCCGGTGGAATCATACTCTTGCTCCAGGATGACACAGTGCCAGGACTCGAGTTCTTCAAGGATGGAGAGTGGGTCCCAGTTACTCCCACGAAAGAAAACAGGATCTTTGTGAACCTTGGAGATCAATTGGAAGTGGTGAGTAATGGTATATATAAGAGTATTTTGCATCGTGTTCTTGCTGACAAGGATGGGAGTCGTCTATCTATTGCTACGTTCTATAATCCTGGGGGCAATGCCATCATTTCCCCAGCTCCAAAGTTCCTTTATCCTAATGGTTATCGTTTCAAAGACTATCTCAATTTCTACTCTAAGACTAAGTTCTCAGACAAAGAGGCTAGGTTTGAGACCTTTAAGGAGATGAATATGTGACTGCTTAATGCTACTCGTGAATAAGAAGCTTTCCTCTTAGGGTTTGTGCAGACAAAATAAATGTTGATTGTTACGTGCTTCTGTAGATCTTGAACACCTTATTTTGTATTTTACAAGAGTGAATGTGATATTGACACTGCATTGTTCTTGAATGTATTAATTGTGTATCATCAGTTTGGAAGTAATCCGGTTTGTTTTTAAAAGTTATTTTTTGTTTCAATGAGCTCACTTTGATACAAATTTCACATGAATACTACAAGGACACAACTGCTTTTTGCTGTTAAAATTTGCAAAGCTATAATAAACTTGAACAGTAGAACCTCAGAAATGAAGTTTAGATGATCATAATCTTGCTTTCAACTTGTCAAACACTAGTATAATCAGTATAAGAAAGTCCAATAGTCAGCCCATATTTATTTTCCCTGCAGTATTGTAAAGATAGTACACTAATATTTCATATTTCACAAAGGTACTGTAACTAACGGGCTCTAGGTTACTAACTGCTGCTAGTAAATAGTAAATAAAAAGTGATGCAAAATGCAAGTGTGATGGGAAGTATGATCCACGATCCTACCTAGAATATAATGAATCAAGATTTTGAGCTCATTTAGATGCATGATAATATGATATATATTACAGACATCAACTTAAGAGAGAAATTCACTAAAGAACACGTCATTTTTATTTCTTATTTGCATTTGAAGGTCATGTTAACCTCACATAAATTTCGTAAAGTGGATAAATCACAAAGTTCAAAGCTAAAATAACAGAACCTTGGGGCTAGGAGAAAAGTACACCAATACACGAGCAAACATGAAATATATCAATGCTGTAGACTGATAGAAAAACTGAGGAGATGTTGTTCTAGAGTATCCTTAGATGGCATATTTCTACCCCATCTCTAAATTTTCCCCCAACAACCTCACACCAGAAAATACGAAGATAGCATGGCATGTTTTCAATTTTCTTTTCTGCAGATAAACCTGAAGTATATTTAAGAAATAACTAATTACCAAACTTTCTGCAAAGATCCTTGACAACGTTTCCAACATGAGCAAAAGTAGCCTGCCAAGCCTGCAGCATTTGCTTCTTTCCTAGGTTGTGCAAAACTGAATGCAAGCACACATAAAAGGAAAGCATGATAAGGACCATGGTATGCCAAACGGCCCAAACCTGATAAATTATGAAGGGTTAACACACTATAGAGATTTCTCCCCCCTCAAATTTACTCAGACTTTGGACTTTATTTTTCATTAGTAGATTATCTTTACCATGTCAGGTCCTAAATTCTGCATTTCTTTCTGTGCAGTTACCTTTAATGCCTAAGTCCATTTTCAATTTACACCTCATGTGTATGTTGTATAGAAATAGAAAAGTGCAGGATTTTACAGTTACTTATAATACTTGGAGGTAGCATGTAACAATTATAAAGCGAAAAAGTAACAGTAACACCCAACCCTAACATTACCTGGTTTTGGCATGATCCAACCACACAGTCGAGGATCGACTTAAACAGTCAATCCATCAACAGAAATAGTCATACTGCACATGTATACATAAATATCCAAAACTCAGTAAGGTGGTAGAGCATGGATAGATAGAGACGAGGAAGGAAATGAAGACTTCTTCATTTCTCTACTAAATGAATCCCAAGTTAGTGCATGCTAAAGAGAGGATGACAAGTATTTTATTAGGGCTTAGAGGTTGACATATCAAAGAGTTAGGTGTCATATTTAACTAACTTAAAAGTAAGCATTGTATTGAGCATAACTTAACTAATAACTAATTAACTATAGCACTTAGCCAAAGAATCTACTCATATCCATAAATAAAATAATCTAGCATCAAAGGGTTTCTGACTTCATATCCAATTCTTCCTTGCAGTTTCTTTTGTAACACCGCAAGTTCTCTATTCATAATAATATATATACTCTTATATCATTGTTGTCCATTATTTGGACACCTAATATTATATTCAAAAAACAACTGAATTGTATTACTGCTTCATATTATATTTTAATAGTTTTGGTTTAACTCAACATGAAATTCCATAAACAGATAAGCTGCTGCAGAAATCAGGGGTATCACATAATCTCCCTTTGGAGGAATTTCGACCCTGAAATTTGTGTACCTTAAAACAGGTGTGCGTACCGTTTCCGCATATCTTCTTCAGGTTTCCGAGTTGATACTTCAACTTCATGGCTGTTCCATAACATTCTCAGTAATAGGATTGGTTTATTTCTTAGCTTTTTGTCCTTAAAATCAAGCATTTGGAAAGGTTTCTCTTTGTAAGATAAGTCCTCTTGTAGAAGAAATATTGGATATAAGATAATGTCTTGAATATGGCACATAACTCCTTAGGATTTTTTTTGTTTATAGAGTAGATTTAATGTTTACTTAACTAAATATGACACCTAACCCTTTGAAGTGTCAATCTCCAAGCCCTAACAAAACACTCGTTATTCTCACCTCTTTAGCATCCACTAACTTGCGATTCAATTAGGGGAGAAATGAAGAAGTGTTCATTTCCTTCACAATATATATCTCTCAATGTTCTTCCATCTTAGCCAGCAGCGCTCTCCAAGCAAACTCCCCAAATCAATCTGGATTCAGGAGGCCCACTCCACAATCAAATCCCCTGTAAATGATTCAAAAAAAGTTTTATGTTACAACTCTAGGAGTTCTTGCCAAATCATAGCCTCAAATGCTATGGGTAATAGAAGGTCTATAGATGGATACTAAGAGAAACGGGTAAGAAATTCTTCTTCGCTATATGAGCATTTAAGCTCAACTCCCTAATTTCTCCTAGGCTAAGAACTAAAGTAGAAGAAGAAACATAACCTATGAAGTAAAGTAGAAGAACAATGATGGAAATTTGCTATAGGGTAGCCTTCATCTCTGATGGATCATACAAACCTTAATGATGTTCTAAAGAAGTGACAGACAGATGCCTTGAATCTTAATCATCTATGAGATGAAAAGTATAGATTTAATGTTGTATTATTCATCCAAGGGAAGAAATCAGGTCAAGATTGCATAATAACGGGCAATCAAACAAACAACTAGCATCTGCTTTTGTTATTTATAACATTCAGATTACAACAGTTAGTAAGATGCCCAGGTAATAAGATAACTCCGATAGGGTATTACCTTCATCTTCGATGAATCATACAAGCCTTAAAGATGCTCCAAAGTGAAAGATAGATAGACTAAGTCTTAATATATCTGCAAGATGAACACTTTTAGATCTAGAGTTGTATTCTTCATCCAAAGGAAGACATTGATCAGGTCAAGATTGCACAAGAATGGCAAACCAAACCACAAATAAGTCACTATGACAACAACAATTATCTGCTTTAGTTATTTACAAAATTCAGATTATACTAGCCAGTAAGATATCCAGATAATAAGATAACTCTGATTCCTCACATGAAAGAAAAGACCAAGTTGTTGAACTAGGAAAAAAGTTAAAAGATTTTAACTAAAATATGAAGCAGCAGAAGCCACGAACTTACTGAGCATCCAGTTTCAATAGTATAGACTTGGTCACAAAAGTGTTGGTCTTCTCAGCTGCTTTCTCTAGCATATCCTTATAAAAGCTTGCAGCCCTTCCGCATTTGGTCACAAAGCATAAGAAAAAGTTTCCAAACTTCAGTGATGCCGAGAACTTATCAGCAACATCAACAATCACAGAGACAATATGCTCAATGCTATCTGGAGTCAAGTAGACATCCTGATTCAGAATATGCTGAAACAATGTAAACAGTGGCTCAGTCCAAACCAACTCATCTGATATTAGATCTCGGTGACAAGGCAAACACATAATTTTTCTGTCCTTCCCTTCTCCACATAGCAGTTTCTGGCAGAAGGCTGAAATATGAGATTTATGCAAGCATTCTTTAATAACTCTTGTGAGTACATCACAAAGAACTATATTAATTCCTTCCTTTCGAAGCACTAATGGAAAGAGGAGAGCTTCTGCTGCTGCCACTTGATGGAGCTTACAAAAGCTAACTGTGGAAGACAATAGCACTCGAGAAGCAGGAGTTCTTAAATTCAATAACTTGGGTAGCAAAATCGAGCAAAGAACATGGGCTGGCCAGTTGTAAGAGCCTGAGCCTCCATCACCTGAAAGATTTGAAAGAAGTACTGATAAGGTCTCGTCATCCCCCTCCCAAGGCTCAATCAATCTTAACAATGCAAGCTCATTGTTGGATCCAGCATCGAAGCATAGCTTCTGAATATCACAGGCAATGCGGAGGGCTTCTGATGTGGAGACTGAGGCCAAAATTTCTGCTTTCAAAGCAATTG